TGAATAGGTTTAATAACTGTACCTGTAAAATATTTCAGGGTTTTCCCTACCAACATGTTACATAGGATGGATTGGCTTGACAATTACTTTTATTAAATCTTATAGATGATAAATATTTTACTAGTTATTTTATAGTAATTTTGTTTTGCGTATTTTCTTGTGTCACTGTGTATAGATACTACATCCTTTGAAGATGTAAGTCCACAAGGTATTAGTGATGATTCTAGTACAGGATCAAGAATTCATGGTAAGATGTGAACTTCTAAATGAGTTAAGTGTACATTATGTGAATGTTAATGAAGTTTGAGAGAAAAAAAAAAAAGAATGACACTGTTACAAGTGAGCATGTTTTCTGTGATTTGCCTATCACTTGAATGTGTGGGATCATTTCTTCAGATTTCTCTCTTCTTCTTTCACTATTTCAGTTGGATGTTAAATCTCTCTCCTAGAATGTATTTATGAAGTGCATCTGAACAGTATCAAAACATATTGCCTTTCAAATGTATTTGGAATTAATAGTAAAACAAAAGAAAGTATAATTTCAATACTAAAAGTAAATTCTAATCTGGCATGATTTATTTGAGTATGTTTTTCAGTGAAATCTAAATTTATCATGTACTCTGTTACAGAATAATTATGTGTTTCTTGAAACAAAGCACTGAAGTGAAAACAGGTTGCTTAAAAGTGAAGTTTTAACTCTTTTCTAAAAATATTTAAAATTAGTCAGATATAGACACATTTCAGAAATAACAGTACCATTATTTCCTTGTATTGGCTAGGAGTACAGGACATGAACTGTGCAGATGCTCTTGCTCCTCCTGTTCGTGGCATTTCAACAGTACGCAGGGTTCCTTGTCAAATCTGTTGTAAGTGACCTAATCACGAGCAGCATCCTGCATGCCAGTGTTCCCATTTGTAAAACCCTGGTTTCCCACTAACAGATCAGTTTCAATTCTAAATATGCACTCTATTTCTTTCTTCCTTTCCTTTGTACCTTACTATTCCTGTAGTGCCCTTTTCTAAAGTGTCCTCTTGGACTGCCTGGAAATCCCTTCGCTTTCTGATCTGTAAGAAACACCACTTTGTTGGCAATGGGCATGATCAGCCTGTGAAATAGTGCATGATTCCTGCCTCAGAGCATTCTGTGATCAGAATGTAAAGGTACCGTGTCACCTGCTACACTTCTGTTCATCATGGTGTCTCCCAATTCTTTCCATTTAGCTTCCAGACCTGCCAGCCTTGATAGTGGCAGAACATCCACTAGCAATAGCAATAACAATGCTTCACTCCATGAAGTCAAAGGTATGCTGAAGGGGAATTTACATACGTGCTTCACTTCTAATAGATGTTCTGTATGATCATCTGTGCAGTTTAAAACACCACTGCATTTTTTTTAGATATTTTATGACCTTTGTTCCCCAAATTAAAATACAAATATTGCAGACCTTGTTGTTTTTAGTAAAAAAAAAAAAAAAGAGTGATAATCCTATATAAGTTTAAAACCATTTTAAACCAAATTAAACCAAGTAACAGGTCACAGATCATGAATCCCACCCTGCGCCCCCCTCTCAGCCCCGCCCCCGCAATTTAACTTAAGGTCACTGTCTTTAAGAGGAGAAATAACCCCATTATTTGTAGCACGTGTACTGCTACATGTACAGTGTTCAATGCAGGCTAGACAAAATGCATATATAATACTATCCTGTAGACCTTTGATTCTGCTTTTGGAAAATTAATAATGTTCCACAATTTAGCAATATTCCCTAAATTTCATATATTATGAGACGTGGCATGTTTTCATGTTGCTTGTGATAGCCATTCAGTAAGTTCTTAAAATTGCTATTAGCTGGAGATACATAAGAGTAGAATGCTAATGGTTCAAAATATAATTTAGTAGTCTTAGCTTTTCAAGTAGCATCTGTTTATTTGGAAATTGAGATGATTGCAAACTTAGGATATTTATTCAGTTATTTTCTCTATACATTTGTTTACTGTTGTCCATAAAAGATTCTTTGAGGTATGTTCTACACAGTTTATTTACAGAGTATTAAAAACTACTGCTGTAAGCCACTCATTTTTATTCAAATTTATTTTCAGTGCTTAGAAACAATACAAAGTAGGAAATACTTGCTTATTCTTATTTTTACTCAGTTCACACTTGCTGAGAATCAAGGACGATTTCTGTTGCAGGCTTTATTTTGCATTTAATGTCTTGTGCTTCCTTCAGATAACAGCTCTAGTAAATTAGAGGTTACAGCACAAACTTGGAGAGGTACCATTTCAGAATAGGTTTTGTTGAAGAACTGTGTTGAAAACATTTTCTTACTGTTCCATCTTTTGTATTTTATTTAACCTAAGACTCAAAAATTACATGCTAGAGCGTACACTTTACAAAGAACAGGAACAGATGTGTTTTCAGCCTCTTGGAATATAATACTGTGTTGATAAAACTCAAATTATAAATGAAGAATACTCGTTGTTCTAAAGCTATCATGTTATGTTTAAAAAGCCAGGATGGTGAAACTGTGTTCATATTGTATTTAGTTTGAATCATACAGGACATTTGGATTCTTTGGTATTTTAAATAAAATTGTTGTTAATTGAATCTGATAGTGTTCCAGTTTTGGGTAAGGTTATTGTTTGGGCAAGATATTGTTTAACAACTTTCATGTATTTATGTTACAAAATACCTAATGCTGTTTACTCTAAAGCAGGTGCAGTTAACAATCAAAGCAGGCCCCAGAGTCACAGCAGTGGGGAATTTAGTCTGCTCCATGAACACGAGGCTTGGTCCAGCAGCAGCAGCAGCCCGATTCAGTATTTGAAAGGTTATACCAGGTCTAGTCCTGTGCTCCAGCAAATAATGCCTGAAACCCTGGATAGTCGTGGAAAACAGATGAAAACTGGTTCTCCGGGAAGTGAAGTAGTTACCCTACAACAGTTTTTAGAAGAAAGCAACAAAAGTACTTCGAGTGAGGTTAGTTTAAAAATAGTTGATTTGCTTTTAGCTACCTATTACCCCTATACATGCCCAGAATTAATGGAGCATTTCAAGTGAGTAGACTTGCTTTAAAACTTTGTGGAGATGCTTATGTTTACATTAAGAGGCTGTGTGGTCCAACAGTAGTAGATTTGTACTAAAACAGTTGAGGCAGAAAATCTTAAGTCTGTACTCTATGTGCTTTGGGGGTATTGCTTAGCTTTAGCTTTGGGGGCTTTACTTTCTACTTTGAACCCGTTAAGGAGTGCCCGTAAAGAAGACGGTCACATCTTTCCGTTTAGCTTTAGGCAAAAGGAATTCCATAGGTATCGATACCTCTGATACTGCTTCGCTGTGAGAACCAGTGTGGTAGGTGAGGGCAGCTGGTAGCCCGCGCCTGCCTCAAGCTGGAGGAGTGAAGTGAGCAAATGCCCTGAGTAGCAGCCCAGCTCTCGAGTGTGTGGGCTGCTCTCCCCCTGGTTCTGTGAACTTGGTGAGAGGGTACTCCATTGCTTCCTGCGGGTCATGGATCGAGGTTTCGAACATTTCTTTTTGTTTGAAGGTTTGTTTGACAGGTTCTAAGAAAGAGACCCTTAGACTTCTCTGCTTGTTACTGCCTCCAGGCAGAGTACAACCCATGGACTGCTACCCCCTCACAGCCGGTCCATCCAAGCAGCTGACTTTCCACCTGGTTTTTCATCTGTTCACCCTGTAATTGTCCCACTTGGATACAAGGATGTAGTGGGAGACAGTGTTGAAATATTTGCTAAAGTTGAAGTAAATGATTCCCACTTCTGTCTCCTGACGCACAGATCCAGTCATTATCTCACAAGTCACTCAGATAATCAGCCATTATTTTGCCCTTGGTTAATCCATACCAACAGATACAAAAAAAAAGATGAGTTTCTCACTTTTGAATAAGGTTAAATAGTTGAAAACAATTCCTTTGGAGTTTCTTTGAGACTTGCAGATGATTTCCAGATTTTTGCTTGTGGTATTGCTGTATTTCAAGTCTAAGAAGTAGCTATGGTCGTATTTTTTGATTTTCAGCATCAAAAGTAATACAGTCCGTATCGTTCCTCAAAGAATTAAAGCTTATAATGTCCAGGTTCACCTGTTGTAAGTTTATCTGTGTAGGTTTAAATTCTCTGCTGAAAAAGGATGGGATTTTGCACATTAGGCCTCCACACACATGCTTTGCAAAGAGAAGAGAAAATTCAAAAGCTCACTTTCAGGCCTAGTGAATTTACCCAGTCTTATGATAAACAAATCCTCTGAGAACACTTCTTACAGAAGAAGCTGCTTGCTCAAAAAGACAGTTTTTTTTTTTTTTTCCCCTCACATTGGTGCAGCCAACGTTTTGGTAGGGCTGTATTAAGAAGACTCATTTGACAATAATTCATAAGTTACTGAAATACATTTGGATATACAGATCACTGTCCTTCTTTCACTTTTCTTTGCGGATTTTGTTCTCTACTCAAGAGTAGAAGCTGTTATTTCAAATATATTTCAGCGTTCAGTGAACCAGAGCATTTCCTGTAGTTTACTAGTCTTGCTAAACTGTTCTGGAACCTTTTGAAAACGAATGGGCTAACTAAATTCTTTCTTTCACTGAGAGTCTGTGAGTCTCTCTCACTGAGTCTGTGAACTTGCTCCAAGCGTCTTCCCTAGTCTGAAGTCTTCTCCAAAAAGAAAAATTTGACACTGGGCATCAAGGCTGTGTGTTTTGTATTTCTTTCCATTCCTGACTTTATAATTTGAATATATAGAGAATTTGAGCTTTTTTAGCTCTACATTATCAATATAAGTTAGAATAATAATCCACGTGAAATTGCTCAGTGAAGTTGGTGATGGGGAGGGCAAATGAAAAGATGGACTTAAAGTTTTGAAGATCATATTGTTGGCTTTAGCATTACGTGAATTTCATATAGTTGTACTCAGATACCTAGTTTTCATTGAGAAAATACTTGTAAGTAATCTGTACAGAAAACTCTGAGTAAAATTCCGAGCTAAAAATTTATAAGTTGTTTCATATTTTTGACAGATAAAATCCACAAGTGAAGAGAATCTTTTAGAGGAAGTAATGAAAAGCTTATCTGAGTCTGCGGAGTTGACAGGCAAGGAAAAACTGAGGAAACAGCCATCAGCCAGCTGTGGCATTGTGAGGTCATTAAGTGTCAAAAATACAATTGATTTCTCGGATGGACGATCTGTTAAACCAGAGCAACTTGTTAGGCCCAGCCTTCGTAAAACTGAAGACACCTATTTTACCAGCTCTCCAATAAAATTTACGTCAGGTACCCAAGGGAAAGTCAAGTCAGTTAAGGAAAAGATACAAGCAACGGTATCGCAGCGGCAATCAAAAGATTGCAACCCTTATGCTACCTTACCTCGTGCGAGCAGCGTGATTTCTACAGCAGAAGGAACTACTCGAAGGACCAGCATTCATGATTTTCTGTCCAAGGACAATAGGCAGCCTGTGTCAGTTGATCCAGCACCATCTACTGCTGACAGAAGTGTTTCATCAGCATCTAGTGAGTACTCTGCACACGAGCTATCCTCTAATTCCTCTAATTTTTTTCACTGTGTGGCTTACAGAGTAGATTGTGTCCCACAAAATGATACAGTTCACACACCTAAACCAGGTAATTTAGGCTGTAAATCTGACCTGCCTAAGACTTCAAGGATGGAAAGATCTTATCTTGAAAAAACTTACCGAGGCACGAATGTGTTTCGTGATAAAGTTGGTATATCTGGTTATGAGAGCAAAGGCTCATTTACTGTGACCCAAGTGGCTCAGCCATTTTTATCCTTTAACACTGAGTTAGTCAGTAATATAAGTGGATTGCCTCAAAGATCTACATCAAAAACAATAGATCAGGCAACTCTGTCAGCATTTAAAGCTGTCTCAAAAAATGAAGAGCAGCCTTCTGCTAATCAGATATCTGTTCGCAATGACCTACAGTCATCTCCAACTAGTGAATTTGCTTCTATCAGCTGTGTAAACACTAGTGAGGCTGAATCCCCACTACTGGTTTCTGAAGATAAAAAAACTGTATGGTATGAGTATGGTTGTGTATGATAAGGAAAATGTATTAAGCATATATTATTATATATGACATATAGCTTTGTTCTCAGTGACCACTGGGTTTAGAGAGTGCTCCCCTAAAATGAAGATGTCATTTCTTGTTAGATCTGTGGTTTGTAGTTTTTCTACGTTTAGTGATATAGAGCTCAGTTGTGTACTGCAGCATGTGTTTGAATGTAAAATTGTAACTTCACCAAAGTTTGCATGAGATATTAATTGCACTGTATATATTTTGCATGCCTTTAAAAGTCTTTATAATACAAGCTGTATTTTTATTTGTCATTCATTACAAATACTTTGGTTTTTTTGTGTACATTATTGAATGCATGTTAAGCCAATCGCATGCTGCATTGCCAAAAAATGGCACAGTGAACTATGTAAATTTCAGTACCAAGGCAGTACTTCTCAGTTGTGCTCTTCTTTTCAGATGCATCAGTAACACACTGATTATCTGTTTGGTGTAAAAATAGATTTATTTTCCTTCTTCAAATATGTGACACTAATGAAAAGAAGCATTTAGAGAGATTTCGGTGTTATAGCCTTTTCATTTATGCCATCCCTCATGTGTTACTTTGCAGAAGGAATGAGATGTAGCCCAATAATCCAGTGCCTCCAGCTTGCGCAATAAATATGAATTACTGTTCCTGTTTATTAGAACAGGCAAATATTGCTTATAATCCTAAACATAAACAGTAGTTCTTCTGAAGAGGTAATAAAGCAGGCAAATGCAGTACTTGTAGTGAAAAGCAGCCCTTTCCACCTTTTCCCATTCATACGCTTTGTCTTCCCATGTCTGATGTACAAATATGGTCAAGCATGCTGCTTTATTAGGACTGAAGTGGCATGATAGTTTTGAGACTCCATACACTGTATGATAATAAAAACTGTCATTAATTATGATGGAAATTCATTTTTTCTTCACAGCAGAAGTAATTCTAATGTAATAGAAACAAGATGTGTAACAATATAGCAGTAAAGCTCTATTAAGTGTTAGTGCAACTGAAGTAAAATAATTAAATTTTGCTTTCAAAATTTAGTCATTTTAAGTCATTAAGTCATGCAGTATAAGAATGCTTGAGTGAGTGAGTCATTAAATCCCAGATGACCATCTAAACAGAAGTGTTGAAAAGCAATTACTTCAAATGCCACCATCTCTGCAATTGCTTGGAACTCCTCAATCATAAATATAAACAGGCATTTAAAAGTTGAAAGACTTAAGCTATGACTGTAGGTGAGTTTAGACATCAGCACTTCTTTAGCTACAGGAAATATTTATTTACAATTATCTTAAGTCAAAAGCGTATAAAAATCCTTAATTAACATTTATTTAAAAGAAAAAATACTTAACTGTAAATAGTCATACTCATTTTTACAATTTAATTTATTTGGCTAATATTTTGTGGCAATTACGCCACTGCTGTGTGAATTGAACTTTAATTCATCAGTGCTTTATTAAGAACTGGTAGAAGTGCTGCACAGATACAGTTCCTCAAAGGAAGCGCAGCAGATGTATGTTAGTCTGTAAAGCTTCACACAGATGAATCCTTAACAAAATGTGGAGAAATTTGGTTATTTTCAAGAGATTCTTTGGAGAGCAAAATCTCTGTTTCAAAATGTAAAACTGTCTTCCCTTTACCATGCTTGCAAGCACTCATTTTTATTGGGCTGATACATTTCTCACCTCCCCTTAATGTTGATCAAAATGTGCTGTTTGTCATTGCTGTATTCTCTCTAAAATTATGTTTCACCAGTTGGAAGAAAAAAGAAAAAAAGTCCAACCCCTGAAGTATAATCCAGCTCTCAATTTCACGTGCATTTGTTCTTATACATTGAGTGTTTTCAGTGTTCTGGTCTTAGGTCACCTCATTCAGTTTCTTTTCTGTTAACCCATAAACCCATGGACGTGTTTAAATTAGATGTGAGGTGTTGCTATCTGAGAAGTTGCAGACCAAATCCTATTAGCCTTGACAATATTTGCTACAAATTCATGGTGTGCTGCCAGTATTTGCGTTATTTGAGTTGATTACAAGCCTGTGGCCTCTAGTAAGGTGCCTTGTTAGGACAAGGTTTGTAGCTAGAGAGTCTTTTCCTTAGGTCAGCTGATAGTGCTGGAGAAATCAGGTGTACTTTCAGGTATGGTCTTATTTTTTGTTTGCAAGCTTTGTGTTGCTCAGGTCCTCAGACAGTCACATCCATAAAAAATACCGGTGTTGTCTCCAGTGATTTTGCTATGAGCCATCCAGCACTGCCACTACCACTGAGCCCTTCGGTGTATTTGTGAGCACGGCCAAGCTCACAAGAGAAATTCTAAAGGTGACCCCTGTAGAGTGAAGTTAAAGCTTATTATCAAAGCAACAAAAGCAGTTTTTTTCCAGGCCCTGCCTGTGGGGCACTTAGAGTTATGTTATGTTATTGCTTTTCACATCGCTTGTGTTGCGGGCAACATTAAAACCATTTCACAAATAGAAAGGGCTTCAAAATAACTGAGGGTTAGTGTTTTTGTACATCATATGCTCTCACTTGATTCTACACTTGTCCATCTCAAACTATCATTTTGGGTTGCTGTTCAAATCTGTAATAAATTAATGAGATTTCAGTTACAGGCATACTAACTGTTAAATTTTTGTGCTCTTATTCTTGCTCCTTGAATTCTGCTGGAGCAGAGGAAGATGGAATTTTTTTTTATGTCTTTGAAAAAGAAATCACTGTCAACTTTTGTTTAAGAACACTTTTTTTTCATATAATATATACAGTTTTCCGGTGCCTTTTGGTATTTATACTCCAACAGTACATGTAGCATGGATGTCTCTTTTGGTTTGTACTATTGCTCCTAGACCATTCAAATGGCTAAATGTAAAACACAGTGCACTTGCTCCTTCCTTGGTCATTGCTGCCTTGGGAAATGATAAGATTTTGCATGGTAATTATAAAACACTGAACAACAGCCCACCAGCTGAAAGGGGTTCTGTTGTCAATAGATTCAATTATTTGCTTGCAGTGAAAGGTTTGCTTGATGCTTTGCTTTAAGTGAACAGTAAATTAAGGTACTGCATTTTGCATGTTCAATCTGTTGCATGCAAAGATAACTTTCTGCTTTGCAGGATTGAATGTGAACATTTCTGTAAATGTGTAGGAGGTTAAAAATGAGGGGAAAAAAAGGATAACTAAACATCTCTCCTAGGTTCAGCAAATCTAGGTTACATCTAATATTTTTTTTCCTTCTCACATGGGCCCTAGACCTAGTGTGTATATATATATATATATATATATATATACATAAAAATGATTATATCTGCTTGTAGCTTTGAAAATAATATTGGATTATTTTAAATGCTAAGATGAATTTTAGTGAGTATAGGTGATCAGGTACTTCATTGGTTTTCTTCCATCCCTCCTCACTGTCTTTTCCTCTAAAAACGGTATGTTTGTATATCTCTTTGCTCTACTAATAGGTAGAATGTATGTTAATGCGTGAAGGTTTTTTATGTCCTGATAAATACAATGAATAACATGAAATACTTTTCTCTGCAGATGTGGAAGCTATACCAGAAAGCAGAAATGCAAAAAGCAGGTCTAGGGAGCAACAAAGCTCCTAATTCTATTCCCCACTACATGAGGTGTGGGCCAAGTGGTGAGTTTCCTGCCCAAAATGTAAATGAGATTAATTTCATTTACACCAAACTAACAGCATTGCATATAAGAAAAGTGCACATTGCATTAACCAGATATAAATACTGCTTGCTTAACTGGCTTCTGTCTTGTTTTTTAGTCAAGCCAGAAGAGGTTGGGTGTTTTTTTTTTTTTTTTTTTTATTCAGGTGTTCTGCCTATGCAGGCAGGGAACGTCATCCCGTTTTGTATTTTGCCTGTAATAATGCCATTTTGTTTTTCGAATTTCTCTTTAAGAGGAAAGTTCAATAAAATCAGATTTTGAAGTAATATTGAAGCAGATCTTAGTGACAGTTAAATCTAAAAGAAGAGTTTAACAAAACAGATTTAGTTTTATAAACTCTTCTATGCTATAAGGAAAGTGCCTATAAAAAGCTCATCTTTAGTATTCTGTCCTTCCTTCATTAAAATATCTTTGGTGTATGCTGCTAGTGCTGTTAGTTCTGTTAGTTACTTAACTCTGTATTTTAAACTTCTCTGCTTTTAAGCTTTTCTTATGTTCTCTCTTCTTTTTCTACCTTTCAACTGAACACAGAGAGAAAAGTGTCCTTCAGTATCTCAATATGAAGCCTTTATTTCTGAAGTAACAAGACAGCGACTGTAGGAATCATTAATAAAAATTAAGGGATTTTTTTTTTTTTTTTTTTTTTTACAATTCTTCATGACTAGAGCAGGCAAACCTACCTACCTACCTACCTTCCTTGAATCAAGGAGCTCTACTGGAGTCTACTGCCGAAAACTGTTAGATGGTCTTAGGAGTTATTGCACATTGCACTGTTAAGATCTACTGAATAAAGGACAGTTCTCATCTCCCTAAGGACCATGAATTTTAAGGTCTCAAGAATTGCTCCACGAAAAAGGCAAAACAAAAACAAAACAGAAAAACTTTCTTCTTCTGTTTATGAAAGTAGCCACTGATTTGCTTAAGCATATGCTAATAATTAGCCAAAAAACATAACTAGCAGTTTATAATTAGTTCTGTAAATCTGAAATGAATGCTGTAGTATTTTGTTGAAGTTGACTGTATATACAGATACAAAAACCTCACAGCTTAACTGGCGCTTCTGCCTTATTTGGTTAGTATAATCCGCATGAAATTGCTCTTAAAAAATAAGTTTATGCTTTTTTTTTTCTTTGCATACTGCAAGAGAAAATCCTGTTTACATATGTGAAAAAGATCAATAACAAAAATGGGAGTTGTGGAATATCACATTATATAGAAATTAATGTTTGTCACTTGTGTTCTTCACATTCCCAAGTTACTCTGCATATATATGTTCAGATGTTTTTGACAGAAAATTGTCAGGTATGATTTTTCTATAACTTTTTTTAATATAAGGTTGTTCTCAACAAATGGCATTTCCAGGATAAGATTGTCTTATGATGTTTGTGTGTTAACTAATCTTTTTTTTTTTTTAATTATCATTTGTCTTTTGACATGAGCTGATTGTGGCTTAGGAGATTTCTTGATGGCAAAAAGAAATGTAAATATTATCATATGCATTTTACAATCAATTCCCTTAAGGTTATCTTTTATTAGCAAGATATATTCTGTTTGTTAATGTTTTACATTAGAGTCAACAAATGTTATTGGTACTTTTAATGCTTGTATACATTTGTTGTCTTGAAAGCGTTTGCAGAGAGCTCATAGGAAGCATACATGAACTTTAAAGCAGATCCAAAATTGTATTAACTACCACAATACTATTTTATTACAAATCAATAAGCACATTTGTATTTCTGTTTAAAATTAACAGTGTAACCTCCTAGTGTCCCATCTTCCAAACCAGCACATACATAACTCTAACCTACAACTATCTCCACTTTCGTAAGTAAACACGACAGTAAATACTTGTAGGACTAGGGTTACAGACTACTTGTCAATTTAATCACACTGCTGCTTTGACAGTGTGATAGGGCTGCTACGACTTCTTTAACTTAATAATAACTTGGTTTTTGAGGCTTGCAGGTTTTAAGATGTATAAAGTCGCAAGCTGGAACAGAATCATCTTTCACTGGAGAATGCAGTTCAACAGATGTAAAAGAATTCCTGGCAACTCATTTTGATTGAATTGAAGTTTTTTCAAAAAGGGAGGAAAAAGAGGAAAGTTCAGTCAGCTTTAGAGAGTCTGTGTGTTTGTGTGTGTTTATTTTATTTTTTCCTTAAGGCGACTTCATTCTGAATGTTTTTTTTACTGATAGAAAATGTTACGAGCTGTAAGTCACATTTTTTTAACACTATAAACTTTTGTTCAACCTGGGTTTTGTTTTTTGCTTTTTTTTATATGGAGAATTTAAGCTTTTATTTTCCTCATGCCAGTATCTATTTCTGCGCCCCTTATTCTCAGTGTTAGGTTCGTACTGATTTCAGAGGAAGCAGCCTGAACTTTGCAGGGTACCAACGCGTAGCCGAGCAATCCTGTGAGTGGTCAGAAGCCCAGAGCACTCCTGAAACCCAGCGCTACTCAGCCATAATGTTCTTGTAAGCAGCCTCATACCGGGCTATCAGGCCTGATGCCAAATAATGAATTAATTTCCCAGGTGGTAACTGATACCATGTCCTTTCGGAGGTGGATTCAGGGCATTACGGACTGTTGACAGCTACAGGATGTCACCCGAGGGCAGGTGAGATGCATGGCAGTGGCTAGAGCAGGTGCAGTGTGCCAGGGTCTGCATAGACTGCAGGTAATCCAGGTGTTCCTGAATGAGGTTAAAGCTCAGGGCATAGGTGACTTTTTCCCACAGACCAAATGAGCCAGACATAGGCCTGATATGCTCTAAGAGAAAAGTATTACAAGCAATAAGAATCTGGCGTCAAGGTCCATTTTTGTGCCATTCCTATACTGCAATATAAACGTAGCCATAAAGACTGAATAAAAGGTTGCCTTTACGTAACTTAGTAGACATGTGAAATCCATAATGCCATTGGCCCTAATTAAAAAGACAGCTATTACGAAAGAGAATTGAAATATCCTAAATACTAGGAAATTATTTCTGTTTCTAAATGTTGATACTTTCAGACTTACTTCAGGGTCTAGCTGTTGCTGGATTTTCTTAGCTTTCCTTGAAATCATTGACTTCCAAACTCTTAACTTGTGTTATGATTTTTAGAAGAGCATGCGTGTCCTGAACTTAAACCTGAAAAAGAGGTTTAAACTTGAGTGCCAAATGCTGTTTGTATTCACGGACTCTGCGCAGTCGTATGCGCGTAGGTACTCAGGTGCCTACAGACCCTGGGAAGGTACGTGAGAACAGCAGTCCTGGGACTGTGGTGTGGCATTTGGTCTCATGATGTTCTGAGGAATGCTGCTGGATGCACTTCGGTGCTCACCCTTTGCCTCTGTGTCATTTTTCTCAATGTGGGCACCTCCTAGCTTTTCATTCCTTTAGCTCCTCTCGGAATTCTTTAAGTTGTCCTGAATTCCCTGGCACAATCTGCTACATTTGCTTTTTACATATTGTACCTTCTTAAAACATCTCTGTGATCACTGCCAGGGTTCAGATACAAATGATATTTTTACTACAAAGCTGGCAATGTGCGTTGGAAGTGAAATCTTCTCATAAAAAAGCTAGGTAAGATTTCTTCATATGAGAGAGTAAACAAGAGTTTGAGAGAGGGGCAGTAGAAATCATCCTTAACCCCCTGCTAGGTCTGAGCTGGGCACCAGTCGGATGTGTGTGCTGGGGTCTTGGCTGTTGCTTCGAGCCGGTTTATCCATGTCAGCACAGAGGCCAATGCTGGGTTTTGACTAAGTTAGCACAAGGACACATTTGCATTTAGGAGATGGCTGCTTCTCCCTGCACTTTCTTCTGCAAAGCAGTTCCAGAGCAGAGGAGCATTGAGGAGGTTCCCCATGGAACTCAGTTCCACATTCGAACTGTACAAAACCTATGGAAAGCATTTAATCTTTTATAAAACAATGTAAAATTGATTTTGAAGACACTTCTTTTTTGAAGCAAACTCCCAGGGGAATAACACGGCAGCTGTTGGGCAGCATACAATAAAACTGCACAGCAATGTGCAGCAGGAATTGCCAGGTCTGTCACTGTTAGTTTAAGATAACAAATGTCGTGATAACAGACAGTATATAACCTTCATGTACTTTCTGATAAAGCTTAGTCTGCCGGGGATTTGGTAGCATTCCCAGCATGTATTATTAATTTTTTTTTCAAGACATGATGCAGCCTCAACAAAGGAGCTCATGTATGATTCTTAGAGTTAGATGATAATGTATATGTAAATAATACTTTGATATTAATAAACCTGCCTTAAAGGAATGTACCTAGGTGTGAAACAGAACTTTAAAAGCTCTTATTTAAAACTGTAATTTCCTTTAAGTATTGACTGAGGAATTTTTTTAATGTTTACCATTGTATACATTTATTAATATGTTATTAAAATGCCAAACCAAATAATTTTTATTCCTATTTTGTGTGTGTACATTTATACACACTTTTTCTGGAAACTGATGTTACTGGAAGGATGTTGGTGTTGAGCAATGGCTTTGTGGTCAGTGGGTAATGTGTTCAGTATTTCTTCTGGAAGGAAACCTATAAAACTGTAGCAGAAATCTTTTGGACAGTATGTAGCTTGTTTCGTGGTGGTGTTTATTAAAGACTGGTAACTTTGAACTTATACCTTATCATAGTATTATTTTTAAAAGACATAAGTAAATACAAAAGCAAATCATTATGAATTTCCCAAGGGCAGTATTTAAAGCTTTCTGGATTTAAAAACAAAAGTGACAGAAAGCAATTTTTTTTTTTTTTTTAGTGTAGAGGATTTGGGGTACGTCACAGAAGAAACCTTAAAGAGAAGGGAGGGTGAGTGTCAGAGGATAAGAAAACTTAAACTTTTTACAGATATGTAAACATCTGTTTTAATGCCTTTTTTTTTAGTAATACACTTATCAATCCAGAGTTCTATAGGCAGTTCTTTAAGTAACCTGGTTCCCTCATATCAGATATTCCTTTTCTGTTTTCTGTTTAACAGTAACAACCAATAGAATCGTATATCTGGACAGCTTTCTAGTAACTTCCTTTAGATTTCAATTTGTTGAACATTTTGAGGTCACATGTTTTCCATTCAAAAAAAAAATAGATGGCATTGATTTGCATCTTCTTTTTTTCTTTCACATCTCCAAAAATGAGCGTGAAAATCTTCTGAAATGAAGGACTTTAACAGTCATTCAAGTTGTTTGTCAAATGCCTTGCCCCAGAAGATGCTTTTTCTTTATTAATGGTATTTGTTCATTCTATTGCATTTAAGATCTCATTTTCTCAGTAGAAAAGAGTGTAACTGCTGACATTCTCCTCAGCTCATAAATCGCTCTTAGCCTTGTGTAGTGAAGCAGTGTCACCTCGGCTGCTTTTTGCTTTGTGCTTATTTGAAATGTTTTATTATTTTTACTTTTAGGTCTTTCAGCATGATATAGTAGCAAGTAGCACTCCAGGATTGCAAGTATCTTACTGTTTTCTTTCATTTTCTGTATTACAATTAATTCTCTGTCTCAACCTGTGTTCTTACTACTGCTTGCCTTTTTGGTGTGTAGACATTTCAATGAGGTAGACATTTTAGGCTGTTTTCAGCAGCCTTTTTTGTTGTCATCTTCAAATGTAGTCCATCACTTTCACAACTTCCTTCTCCTTGGGTTTTATATGGGTACTCAGTGGCCCAGTACATGTACTGGATTTTGTGGAGTTTCTGCTGCTTCTCTATCTTTGATGTGAAGAAAATCTATTTGAAAGGGTATTTGTTCATTTGGGTGGGAGAGGAGAGATAATTAGATTAGAAATTTAATATTAAGAAAGCATTGGTCTTGTGATAGTAGCTACTTTTCTATACTAAATAAATTTCATCTATTTAATGCCAAATCAGCCTCCCCACAAAACTCTTGGGCGTCTCTGGGAGCCTCTCCTGTGCAGACAGGAGCGTCTTGGGAGCATCGGCCATTTCTATAGGTGCTTCCTGTCCTCTCCTGGTGCATGAATCAGAAGAAATCATAATGAGAGTCAATACAGCCCCTGCTTGTATTATCCTTCTTCCCAGTTACCCCCAGTAAATACTGTCCCCAACCAGGAACCTGCGCTGCAGTCGCCTCCCGTCAGGAGAGAGGCCGGTGCCAGTGATTCCCATTCCCGCGTCATCTGCTTTGAGACGCTCCCGCCTGTCTGCCAGTCTTTGGAGAGGCTCTAGAAAGGGATGGGGCCCGTTACCTTAATGGGACAATTTGTGGCCAGGCCACCTGGAAATACTGGAAGAACACTACAAATCTCCCAAGGGCCGGAGACTTAACTGTGAAAGTGAAAATGCAGCTACAAGTGTAGACAATCAAGTATGCGTTGTGTAACATAACTAAGTTTTGTTTTGTTTTTCCTAGGTAAAAATAATAGAAGGAAAGCAATATATAGTAGGAGGTAGATGAGTGCAGGTACACAATCTAGACATCCCTGTCCTAAGTGTATTGCCAAATATTTTAGAACTTGAAGTTAATTCAGTATTTAATGATGTTATCTTAAGTTTCAGCATTTCAAGCCCAGTACCACAGACTGAAAGATCCATTTTTGTTGGTTTTATTATTAAACACTATAACATTATTAAAATGGAAACGTTTTCTACACACTGGTTACTTTGTGGTAGAATGCAAACATATCTTTTCTCATGAAGAATATTCTGTTAAACTTTTAATAACCTGAAGACAGTGTTATTTTCATCAGATTATAGAAGACAAGTTGAAAAAAAGAGAGAAGCATTCCTATTTTTTCAAATTGTATTTGTAATGCAACTTCCGCTAGTTTTGTTCTATAAAATCTATGTCTAGCAGTAAAAATATGACATTTATCTACTTAATATTTTCATCAAAATGTATGATTATTGGGTCATGTCCTGTTGACTTCACAAACTTCAGAAAATATTCAGGGCTTAATCCCATGGTTGCAGAATTTGTCATCGGATGAAGATACACCTTTTCATGGCCACCCTCCAGAAAGCCAGCATCCAGTACAAACTTCACATCTCCTTGGTCACGAAGAGGGCTAGCGGTGTTGCGCATCCTTGGCCCACTTTTATTTTTTCCAACATGGCATTTTCATCAGCAAATCTTAAATTTCCGCTCCCAACTCCCAGTTTTTTTGCCAGATCATTTAAATCAATCTGCCTGTTATGTAAGAACAGTCACCAACCAGAACCCTTTCTTCTTTTTGTCTTTAAGAAAAAGGTTTTTACTGTGACCTCCTTTCATGTGTTGGACATACGGCATCATTTCTTCAATAGTAAATACCTGGAAAACACAATTAGTACAGTGTGAGACTATATCCCATTAGATCTTTAGTCGCTTATTGACAGGAATCTTTTGTTAAGTATTTAGAAAATTCTGAATGTTATACTTGGCCTAAAAACTGTACCCTTTTTTTGAAGAAATTTTAAATGAACACAAATAAAATGTGACATACTGGTCCTACAGACTTTCTCAATCATTTCTCTCTGATGAATGCAGCAAGTGTACCACACTTAGAAGGGGGAAAAGGCAGCCGTGGCAGCACTGTTCTGTGCAGATCCACCACACGTGGATCCTTGTGAACTGGGAGTGAGGGGAAGGCATGTGGAAAGGGTTGTGCCTGTATTGCACTTTCTGGACTTGAGGTTTCTTGAAGTGCCCCAGTCCTCCCTGGACCTAGGTGTGGAGACGTTCACTATCAAGTACTGTATCTGCGTGCTGGAGCTTCCGAAACAACATGGGAATGCGAGGGGAAAAGAAGGCTCCCGCAGCTGGGGGCTGAGTGACAAAGTCCTGAGGGGAATAAGATAGCAGATATTCTTGAAACCATATTATAAGGATTTTTAATATATATTTTATACATATAGATGTGTATAAACAAAAGTTATATCACTTTTCTGCTAGGCTCAGAATTCATAGGTATACTTCAAGCAAAACACAAATTTTGATAATTTCAAGACTGAGAGTTACATTTTAAAAATTTACATGCTTTAATCTGTCTGATGACTCTATTTTATGTCCTGCCATAAGCAGAATCTTACTTTCTCATTGAACAAAATCTGCAGCATGTAAGGAAAATCGCAGCTGAAACTGCTCTTGGGTTCTGGGAGTGCGAAGGGACCAGGGAGGGAGTTGGAGGGGAGCTGTCGCGAGTGCGCGTGGAGCTGCCGCGAGTGCGCGTGGCTGCGCGGTCCCCGCTGTGCTCCCGCAGGCCCAGCTGGGCCGGCACCTACCTCGGGGTGCTCGGCCGTGACGGTGGTGATGCCCAAGCCCTGCAGCTGCTGCTCCAGCGCCGCGCGCAGCCCCAATAATTCTAATTTACATTTTTTTTTTAATGTTACATCTGAAGTGTGTCAACTGAGGGTGCACTTTAAATAATTAATGCCTTGATGCTCTGGTCAAACTCGAAGCAAGGCCACTTGAGATGAGGCGGCTCAGGTCCTTGTCATAAAATAATTAAATGAGATTTTCTGAGTGGTATTGAAGATCTTGTTCTGTTTTGTGCTCTGTAGATAGATGAATAGAAGTAATTTACAGGTAAAAGTATGAATAAAAGTAAAGGGATGAATAAAAGTGATTTGTTTATACAATTAGCAATTGTAGAAGCTTATCTTTTAGTAATGGGTTTGGTAAGAACAGCTACATCTATTCAAGGATGGGCTCAGAAAAGTAAGCTGCTTTAATCAAACCAGGGAAGCGGATGTTACAAGCAAATTTGGAAGAATTTGAGACATTTTATACGATCTAAGCACTAGGCCACATCAGGGAAGCCATGACACTGTGCACAGTGTGGAGGGCGAGACACTGCTGAGGGTTGAGCTCCTGCCCCGAGGCTAAGGTAGATGGGGGCAGAGCAGGGCGCGTTGCTGGCTGGAGCCTTCCCTTCATGCCCGTGTTTGAGACTGCAGGGAAACCTTTCATAGCTGCCCTTACTGGGCCCGAGTGGCATCCACCCTCACCCACCGTTTCCTGCACTCTGTCGTCTACGCGCTTGGACTTTCCAGAATCTATCACACCAATCTCTCCTTTGACTCTCTAAGAGACGCGAGTCTGTATCTGCTGCTGTCTCAAGTTTCTTGGCTCGAGTGTTTCAGTAATATCAGATAAAATTTCATGAAATTCAAAGGAAAAATGTACTCTCATCGATTAAATATAAAATTTTGCACACAGACCTGTAACAAAAACACCTTATAGCCACAATTGTTCATACAGATCTCTACGTGTTTTCACATTTTTGCATCTGTGCTTACTATAATTTCAGCCACTAACATGTTGCTGATGAACAGTTTCACTGAAAATGTTGCTAAATAGTGAAAACTTAAGAAAAATTCAAAGCTAGAAAAATCAAATTATGTATATGGTATGAACTAAAAATGAGAACTAATAATCAAGTTTTTTTCAAAGGGCAGCCAATAATTAAGAATTGCAATTAATTAACAAAGCAAAGAATTAATGGAAATTAATACGGAAAATATTTCTATATCTCAAACCATCATCCTGACCTATGAGATCAGGAATTTTTTTTTCCAATTCTCAAAAAAACAAAACAAAACAAAAAAAAGGCAACCTATAATAAAGCTCTAAATTAAAACAGGATGAGTTTGTGGTTGGAAGACGTGGATAAAATATATCCCATGCTAAGAGCTTTATAGCAGTATATGGAACATTTGCAGACATCATCAAAAGGAAGCTTAAGTCAAAAAGCAGATTTATAGCACACTTTGTTAACTGCTATGCAATGTAAATTTATCTTTCAAAGAAAACATTACTTGGATTAATCAATCCAAACTGTTCTGGATTAGTGCCATCGCCTGTAGGACCTCTGCATTTTGCAGCAGGGCTGAGAGGTAAGTGGTAGCCGTGTCTTTGCACCATATTTTTACCTGATTTTTCCTCCCATGCAGAAACGTTGGTGTCTTTTCTGCAAACCTTAAGCAGTGTTTTTTTTACCATACTTTAGTTTTGGGTTATTTTTCCCTTTTTACATTTGGAGAAACTTAGGTGTTAACAACTGCAAGCTACAGACAGCTCAGTTTTGAGGGTCTTTGTGCTTGGCTGGGATGATGTACACCTTGCACATCCAGATTTTCTTTTAGGAGAGTTTTTAATTTACAGGCACAGCTGAAGAACTCCACAAGCTGTCCCTAAAAACCACGCATGGGGGAGACCACCTTGTGCAGCCGTGCAAGCTGCAATCTCTGTGCTACAGCAGAGCACGTAAAACAGTTCAAACCTACAGAGGATTTTACAGTTATTTCTCATAATTCTCAGTTATTTCTCATAACTGGATATTTATAGGTATGTATATGTATGTATCTGTATCACTATAAAAAATGGTACTGTCGCAAGAGAACCCCAAGATTAAAGGATATTTACGATGCAACCTGGGACTATCTAAGGCTTTTACAAAAGCATTAAGAAGGGGCAGGTTAAGGATTTTTCAGACACTATTTACAAAACTGCCTCTTAGATATATTTTTTTCTAATCTTTAACATGGTGTTTAGAAACGTCAAATTAGAACTTCTATTTAAATACATATATGTGTGTATATATTCAGTTCAGTCACGGCAAAGTCCTTACACGGAGAGAGTGCCTGAAAACAGACCGCACGGACAAGCGAGCTGCCCGCG